GGTTAAAGCCTGTATACTGAAAAGTATAAAACATTGATGAAACAAGTTGAAGACACAATTGATAGGACAACTCATACTTAGAAATTAGAAGAATTAATATTAGTAAAATTTTATACTACCCCAAATGATGTACATATTAATTGCAATTACTGTCAAAATCCCACTAGCATATTTGTTTTCAGATACAAAGAAGTTTATTTTATAAAGTAGATGCAAATTCAAGGGGGAATGGGTGTGATCTCAAGACAGAACCACTTTTGTAGGTAGAGCCAGGAAAATCCATTCAAGGGATTATGAAGTTATTTCAAGAGGGAGAGACAGCAACCTGTTGGAGTGGAGTATTCATATTCTTGGAGGGATAGTTGCTAAAGGCTGGCCTAGAGGTGGAGCCAGGGCAGAGCCACACAATATCTCTTCAGTTTGCCCTGCACTTGTGCACTCATCTCATAGTCTCTCTGCCAAGAAAAGCTGCTGGCTGTGGAAAGAGCCAGGCTAAAAAATCCTTATGTCCTGCAACTGGCAAGGCCAAAGGGGTGGGGCTGCCCAAGCCCTTTGAAGAGAACATTTTGCCACTGTGTGTCCTAATGCTGTACTTGGAGTTAGTGAACCAGGTTGTCCAGCTGAAATTTCATCTTGCATTGGCTTCACCACTTCTTTGTATATCCCCTTCCTCCATTTTGGAATTGGAATGTTTATTTTGTGCCACTGTATATTTTGATTTTTACAGAGTTTGCTTTGAGTCTCAGATGAGAGTTTATATTTGGACTTTTGGATAAAACTGAAACTAATAAGACTATGGAGGCCCATAGAGATGGACTAAATTCATTTTGCATTGTGAGATGGGCATGGGTTTCCAGGGGCCAGGGGCAGAATACTAGAGTTTGGATGTAAAGTGTCCCCAAAAATGTTTCTGCTAATGCAAGAATGTTCACAGGTAAAATTATTATATTTTGAGAGCTGTATCCTAATCAGTCCATCTTAGTTTGAATAGACTGATTGGATGGTAAATGTAGGCAGGTGGGGCATGACTGGAGGAGGTGTCACTTGGGATGTGCCCTGGAAACTACATCTTTCCTGTGGCCCCACTCTTTTCTGCTACCTGGTTGCCAAGCCCTGAGTACTTTTCTTTACCATGACCTTCTGCCATGATGATCTACTTCACCTTGGGCCCAGAGTTGTTCTATCATGCTCTAAATCTCTGAAACTGTGAGCCAAAATAAACTTCCTTTTCTACGTTTTTATTTGTTAAATATTTTGGCCTGAGTGACCATATAAAAGCTATTCAATTGTACACAACAGTGGTGTTAATTCTGACATATTTGTAAATGCATATAACATAGTTTTCTCCATTTCAATCCGCAATACTATCCCTTGCCTTCCTTCTTCCCTTCCCCTGATCCTGTTTTCTACTCTATTGATCTTCCTTCTTGTTACTAATTTATTTTTTAATTGATGCATTATAGTTATATATGAAATTGGAATGCATTGTGGTAGATTCATACACATACTTAGTATAATCTGATCAACTTCATTTCCCAGTTTCTTTGATCCTTTTTAAATTGAGAAGTAGAGACTTTTCTCTCCCTGGTTTACTTGTGACTGCTTTGGCCAATAGAATATGACAAATAGAACATTATGTTAATGTTGGTTCTTGGCTTTGAACCAAGTTTTGTCTTTGAGACAACCAGTAGCTTTTGCCTTGAGCTACTGGCTCCCATTAGGAAAGTCTTTACCATTGAAAAACCTCATGATAATGACATGGAATAGGATAGAGAGAAATAGACTTAGGCAGCTTCTGTCTTTTCTATTCTTAGATGTTTAAGTCATCCCAACAAAGGCTCCAGACATTATTGAGCAAAAATAAACCCTTCCTTTCAGTTCCCTCTTCAATTTTGACCCACAAGAATCATGTTACTTATTTAAGTAATTGACTAAGACACTAAATTTTGGAGTATAAAGCAGCACTAGCTAAACAGAATATCAAGGACTTTCTCTAGTTATTAATTAATAACTAAAGAAATTCGAGTCTAAGTCAGTTCTGGCCGTATGGTGCCTTCTCCACATATACGTTCTATCTTCAGCAAAACAGGAATTGAAGGACTGAAGAAGGTTGAGTTTGTTTGGAGATAGAGAAAGTTTGTTCGGAGAAAGAGAAGTCAGAAACAAATTGAGTTTGCCAAAGTGAAAGTTGAAATTTTGAATAGTCAGTATACCAGCTCAAAATAGCTTGCATACTCTTACCTTTATGTATCTTTAAATAATTGTAAATGTTGTTACCCACATCCTTTCAGAGCCAACAGCCTCTTCTAAGTATTTAGAGATGGAGAGAAATATACGTCTTGTCTATTTGTTTTAGGAAGACTTAGAAACTATAACTTCATTGCTTTCATTTAGTATGAATTTGATGCCAAATAAGGCAAAGAAAATTTTGATGAATTCTTCATATTTTCTTTATATTATACTGCAGTCTATCAAAGATAGAATTAGAGAAACAAAACACAAAAATAGGAATACTTTTGAATATCTTTCTTTTCCATGAACAAGGGGATGAAGGGAAAATAACACACCAATGAGATTAAAAACAGATTCTTGAGTTTATTTTTGATTGTTGCATTTTAAATACTTCATGGTAATTTTTGACAGTTTGGTCATTTTACTTCTTAAATTATCTCTGAAGATAACAGGTGCCATAACTATTTAGGTAAACTACTGATCATTTTACTTATGTTAAGCAGTTTACTATAATATCATTTACTTTACTTATTTTCCTTACTGGACCAAAAAAGCAATTTTCATTTGAATTGTGAAATGTGAAAATAAAATCATCAATTAATTTAGTTAAAATTTTTCCTCCTTTCTTTAATTTAGTTTATTATGAAGGAGATGGAACATTTCAGTTGTGTTTCTCTAGCTCATTCTCTCTTCAGCATGTCCTTTATGTGAAATTCTTCTTTTTCTACCACATGAGTACCTTTGGGTGCCCTGTCTTTATTTACTAGAAATCTCTTGGACATGGCATTGGTAAATCTAGCACTTGTGCAGAATTTGTGCATTAAAATAATAAAGAGCATAATTGGCTAATTTTTCACATGAATACACTTTGTGTGGAAGTGGAAAGTTTTAAGTGTTTACGTTACAGTGGGGAGAAACATTTTGTATTGTGTGTATGTCACTAAGAATTGTCTTAACCTCAGCTTCTTCTTTCTCTCAGTTACTCTCTTTCTTGGTTTCAAATAGCCTGAAAATCCCCATAGGAATAATAAAATTATACAGATTTCTATGGTTCAAAAGAATCTTTAGAACACTATTTGTTACATCTGCAGCTGCAAAAGTAGAATATTTTATGAAGAAGTATGTAGAAGGTAAGCTATTGGCACTGTTCATATTCAGTGCAGTGTAAAATATAAAGTCTTTTTATTGCAGGTGGGAGTGCAGGTTGTTATAATATCTGGGGAGGATACTATGTTAATGTCAATCAGAATTATGACACCTATATCTCTTTACCTAATATTTCCATTCCCAAGAATTTATCCTAAAAAGACTTTCGTATATGAAATAGACTTTTATATATATCCTACAAATAGATTTTATACACATGTCATGTACAGGTTTATGTGTTGGAGCAATACTTGAATTAGCATAGATATGCAATGTGAGGGGACCAACCTAATAAGTGTGACACATCTGGATGTAGCATGTAGTAGGCAGGTTAAAACAGAAAAGGGAAATTTTATGTACTGATAAGGAAAGATCTCTAAGATACACCTAATTTGGTACACTAATTTATTCACATAACAATATATTTTTCTTCCATTCTTTCTAAAAGTAAATATTTGTACTTGTTGGTGTATGCATAAAGGCTCTCTGCAAGGACAGACAAGCAGACACTAATGTTGGTTTCCCATGAGGTTTACCTGTGTGGGGTAGGGGCAGGAAGGGGCTTCTTATTGTGCAGAGCAGTGACTTGAATCATGGTCTTACTGACTCATGGCTGTGTTAGCATAGGGAACTTGCTGTGTGAAGGTGCAGATCAAGATGGCTCAGTTGCTATGGTGATCCCTACCCAAGTAAACTGTGCAAAAGCAAAGATTTATATAACTCTGGACTTTGAGCTCATGCACCAGCTCCTTGGAATAGAGAATTCTGAAAATACCAAAATAACCCTCATGTCTCATTAGACTTGCTTTGCTGAAACTTTCTCAAAAATAACCTTTTGATGAAACCTGTATAATAAATGTGCTGAGCTAGGTCTGAGTCAGTCAAATGCTAGTGGAATTTGACTGCCCAGCTTTTTCTCTATGTGCTTTTTCTCTGTTTGTCTTTTCTTTATCCCCCATCATCTCTTCTCTGGACTTCTCTGAATTAATGGCTGCAGCTGAAAGCAGAGATGAGAGGGCCATGCACATTACCTTTTTATGTATTTTGAATTTTGAATCATTATCTATTAAAAAACAAAACCCCAAAAGAAATCAGGACATACCTGTTAAAAATTTTCATAATTCACATGTGAATTGAGATTTGTTTCCAATGTAATAAACATAGCTTTAAATTAAAATTCTAAAAACATAAAAGAATAATAATTTTATTGATAAGTCAAGTCTAAAAATGTGTTAGCCTAGAAGGATCACACAGATAAACAGACATAAATGTTATTCATATATACCAAACGTAGGTATTATACACATATTTCTATACCTGGCTATGTACAAGAACACATTATAATATATTGTAAATCAATATTATCATATTATATTCTTTAAAAGAAATTCAACATTAGGATTTCTGGTTAGTATTCCATATATAAATGTTTACCCTCTGTTACCTAGGAATACATTGTTTAATACAACTAGAGCACATTATTCCATTTAGTAGTTTTCTGTTATCCAATTTCCTTTGTTTTATAGATTCTAAACAATTTGAGAAGCAGTATACTTATATATCTCAACTTTCTCATTGTCTGGTAATTTATGCTTCAGAAGAGTTCTCTAGATCCCTTCAGATCAGGGTCTCTTTCTGATCACCCTAAACAAGGCACCCTTCACTTCCTTGTTCCTCAAAGTATAGATCAGTGGATTAAGAACAGGAGTGACCACACTGTACATGATGGCAATGATGCGATCCTGGTCCCTAGAGCTCCTTGAGGTAGGGCGAATGTAGGTGAAGATAACAGGAGCAAAGAAAAGAATAACCACCATGATGTGGGAGGCACAGGTGGACAGTGCTCTGTGAAGCATGTTGCAGGACTGGGTCTTGAGGAAGAGGTAGGTGATAATGTAGAAATAGGAGAGAAGGGTCAGAAAGAAGGGGCCTGTGGCGATGGTCCCCGTGACAGTGTTGAGCAGCCTCTGGTTGAGCTCAGTGTTCCCACAGGCCAACTCCAGCAATGGCTTAACATCACAGAAGAAGTGATAAATGTGATTGGGACCACAGAAGTTCAAGTGAGATGTTATTATTGAGTGCAGCAGGGCATGGAAAAATCCAATGGCCCAGATGGTGATAGCCATCTGGGTGCAGAGCTGAGGATTCATGATGACAGTGTAATGAAGTGGTTTGCAGATAGCCACAAAGCGGTCAAATGCCATCACTGCCAGCAACAGAGACTCTGTGCTACCCAGGAAGTGGAAGAAATGAAGTTGGCTTATGCATCCCATGAAAGATATTGCTTTGTGTGTAGAGAGGAAGTTCTCCAGCATCTTTGGCAGTGTTACTGTGGAGTAGCAGATATCTAGACATGACAGGTTTCCCAGGAAGAAATACATAGGTGAGTGGAGTCTGGGGTCAGAGATGACAATCATCAGGATGGCTCCATTCCCAGCCACATTCACAAGGTAGATTGTGAGGAAAACTGCAAAAAGAAAAGGCTGTGGATCTTGTATGTCTGTCAATCCCAGGAGAAGAAATTCAATGACTGAAGTCTGATTCAACATCACTTAAAAGAAAAGAAGAAGTAATTTTGAAACCTTATTCGTAATGAGGATCAGTCTTTCTAACTGATGATTTTCTTGCCAAGACAAAAAATTTTGAGGAATTGTGTGGTAGTTTTGCATGAAAGCCTGCCTCAGATCTTGTGTAATATTTAAATGTTTAGGCTACATGTGTTGTGGATCAGTCATTTTTAAAAATTGAATTTTTCATTAATACTTTTCTTTCTCTTAGGAATTTAGAGCAGGTTTTCAGTCTACCATCTTCTCTGGCTGTGAACATCTACATTCCAAAACAACTTTCTTTTCATCTCCTAAATCAGCTGCATGAGGTGATAATATCTTAACTGTTCTACCACCCCTGTGATCTCCTTACAGAGTGGGAAGTGACCTGAAGAATTTTACTTAAGAAAAATAGCCAGGGATAGAATTATTGCATCATAAAGTTCTTAAATAAATAAACAATCCCTAAAACAGGGGCAATAACTTTTCTGTAGTAAAAGGGGCTAGGCTGTTCTCTGGCTCATCTCTTTCTGATCCACATTCTTGGAAAAGTCACAGAGTCCTATCTGAATAAGAAATGAGATTAACAAATCATTATTAATCTAGGTATATTTGAAATTTTATCACTGCTATATCCAATGATGGGCTTTGTTTCTTCTGCAATTTGAGCCTTGTATTTTCTCAAGTAGGATCTCAAATCACTTCTTTTATGACAAATGTTATTGTTTTTCTCTTGTTTAATTGCTCTCAGACTCTTTCTTTCTTCCTTTTTTTTTTTAGATGCTGAAATCCCTGGATAAACTTTCTTCCTCTTATGAGTTAAAGTTTTCACCTTACATTACTTAATGTTATTTTTTAAATTATCTATTCCTTTAATACTTTAAAATCTTATCTTCTTTTTGACACATTTTATGTCTTATTTTATTTTGCCTGAAATAAATTCAGTCCTCAGGAATAGACTATCAAAGAATATTCTACCTCAATTGGAAATCACCTCCTTGACTTTTGGTTTCTTTAATGCGTCACCAGCAGTTATATCATTTCTCATGCCACCAGAAGTCTGTCTGCTTTGTATCTGCTATCTCCAAAGTTGTCACAAATTTCCAGGTCTCCTCAATTGCTGTTTGTTCTTTTTTTCCCCATTAAATAAAATTCTTGTCTTCTATTAAAGAAATGCATTAATTTTTGTTTCTTTTGCAGAATTGAAATAATAGCATTTTACTTTGTGAATGCTGAGACTCTTGAGGAATTGCAATTATTAATTATGAGATTTGGTATTTGACTACATTGTGTTGTTCACTGAGAAAACTTTTGAATCTTTTCTCCTATAACATTTGTAAAGTACCTGGTGCTATCTCATTTAGCCACACTGAAAAAAGCAGACAAAATTCCAAGTAGCTCTTTGTTTCTCCTTTAATATGTACAGTGAGTTAATTTGCTAATTAGGAAGGGAGGATAAAGGACATGTGGGGAACTTGTAGATGGGGGAGGCACTGAAAGAAGAAAAAGAACTATAAGAAAATCTGAAGAGATGCAGACATTGAGGTGTTTCTTAAAAAAAGGAGAATCATTTGAGGTTTGAACATTCAGAGGAAAGAAGAAGCTGATTTGAGTAAAAAAGTGAATGACTCCTTTCTGGAAACCTCTGGGACTTTTGGCTTTATTTTGGAAAAGATTTTGGATAATTAACTTCTATTATACCTCCAGGAAGAGCTGTCTTCCAATAATTAAGAATAATTTTCTTAATAGCCATGCACAGTGTGTATAGTTCAAAAATTTTATCACCCTTTCAAATAAACAAGTGATCTGCCAAACATAAATCTTGCTTCTGTGACCCAATAAAATTGCATCAAAAATCTATTTGATAACAGAACAAAATAAAACCAATAAGAAGTCAAACAACAAATTATTTTTTTCCTAACATCTAAAGAATATTAACTCTCACACTTCTCTTTGGTTTCTTTCCCTACAATTTCAGTATTTAGAGATTACAGGTTTGCCTTGAGGAATAATTTATAAACAAGGCATGTTAAATTGATAATGAGGTATATCACTAAAGATGTGGGAAGTAAAGTGCTTTCAAAATCTATATGATAACGAATCATAATAAGATATGAAACCAGTTTTAAATTCTGAACAATTGGCGATAATGACAATAAGCAGACAGATCATGCATTAACAAAAAAAATATGGGCGACTTTACAGCCTTCTCCTATTTCATTCTCTTACCTGATGGCATGTTCAGAATCACTGAACAATTAAGAAACATTTTCAGGTTTATAGCCTTAGTGATTATACATGATAAAAAAATATTCAAAGTGACATTTCATGATGAGATTTCAGAATACACCATTTGTATTCCAAAATCTCTTCTTTGCTTTCTAAAAATCTGCTGGCCTTTTTAATGAGCCATGGCTCTCTAGACAAAAATCCAGAGAGAGAGTGTGTCCCCTGATACAAAGAGGGATTCTTATAGGAATAAACAGGTACCATTCCACACTTACAATGATGAGTGGGGTAGTGTTATAACATTCCTCTGTGGAGTTCTATTGTTTTGTTGTTCTTCCTATTTTCTTTTCTTGCTGCTTTTGGTTTTCAATTTCAGAGCCATAGACAGTAAAAGTATCAACAGCCTAATGTGCTTTCTTAGTCAAATTTCCTTTCATTTCCTAAGATAGAGGTGTGGACTTTTTTTCTTGGGCACTCCCTTAGAACATACTTCAGAATTTAAAGTAGAAAGAAAATTGGTAAAGAAAGTTAATTAGTGAGTCACATATCCTATTAATACAGAAAGATGGTTATATTTAATATTCTACTCAGTTTTAAGGATAGAAAAAAAAGGAGTAATGGGAAGTCATAGTATTTTTGTTTTTTCCGACTCTTCACTGTTTGTAATAACTTTTCTCTAATTTTGGCATACAAACGTTTTTCTCTGCTTAGGGAATACTATTGGCTTTCCTAATGTGTACTTTCATTTCTTGTTATAATCTTTAGGTAAAAGTTTCTGTGTGACTAATCTAAGGGGTAACCATGTGGATCTGCCATCTATAGAAGGACCTAATAACAGTTACAAATGTGTAATGTACTTTGTCCATATTTTTACTGGCTTTTTATTTTTGTTGCTCTGGTAGGAGTTAATTCTATATGAATCACATTAATGGGTCCTCCTTATTTTATATGCTGCAAATATAATGCAAATAAATAACCTCCACTGCATGCTCCTTAAGTATAAGTTATTGTTCTGAGTTCCTAACATGCAGTAGTTCATTTAATTTTCAGAAAAGCCAAATGAAAGAAGTACTAAAACCATTACCATTTACCAGAAGAAAATCAAGGCTCAAGGATTCAAGTAAACTTCCATTTTTTAGTGATAAATTACTAAACTAAAACTGAGGCTATTTAGTTCTAGAAATCACTGAAATATAGTCTTCATTCTTTAGAAACATCAACCATCTCAATTTTATCATTTTTATTGTCTTGCACTGAATTCCACACATTTATCAGATGTAGAGTTTAATGTTTGTCATTTACGATTCTAGGCATTTAGAGGTCACATTATACATACTGTAAGAAAAGAATTGGCTTTACTTTGTCTCTGTGAAGACAGACAGACTAGCTTTTCCTTCTTCAAAAATGCACGATATAATCTTTATAATATTCAAGCCCCCCAAATGCATGCTGTATTTCTCCACTTGTTATTTTTTTCATTGAACAACCTGAATTTTAATTAATAATACTTTATTGTGTGTCTTGATATCTTAAAGGTCAAACCTTTACTCTTCTTTTGTAAAAATGCCTCGAAGAGTTAAGACAGCTCTTCTCTCAAGCAATTATGATATTATAGAAAATTTTGTTTACAGAAGAAAGACTTGAGCCCAAAATAAAGCAGAAGATGAGAATTGAGGCCAGTGGATAAAGCCAAGTTCTCTGAATATGATAGTATAGTTAAAGGGATCTAATAGACAAAAACCTACCTACAAAGGAAGGAAGTTTCAGAGTTTCGCTTTTGGAACCTAAACTCTCAGTTAAAAAAAAACCAAAACAAACACAATGAATTTATCTTCATCATAAGACATTATCAACAGAATAAAAAGGTCAACCATAGGATAGGGGAATATTTTTTCCATCGATTGTCTGAGGATTTATATTTAGATTCAGATCATATCAAGTTGATTAATAGACATATTAATTAAAAGAAAAAGTGGGTAAAACACTGAAGCATATAATTGATATAAGAGAATATAAAAGTAGCTAATGAATGTAGTGAACAATTTCTTTATTGTAAGGGAAATTAAAATTAATATTATAATGTGATCTGACTACACACTCATTATAGTGGCTAGAACAAAAAAGAGAGATTATTCCAAATGTTGGTGTTGGTGTCGTTCTTTGTTAGTATAGAAACCAATGATAGTATGTGATAAAACTAACAGAGAAATCTTTATTATCCAGTAATTTTCTGCAAAGGGGTAGAGAGAGGGGGAAGAGAGAGAGAGCGAGGGAGAGAGAGAGAGAGATGAACATCATTGTCAGGTTTTAAGCCAAGGAATAACACAACCTAATTTGTATTATAGTATGGCTGTAGGGTAAGCCATACTGAGAATAAAATAAAGGAACATTATCCCAATGTTGTGTTCTTATTCCTGATATAAGTTGTAATTATCTGTTTTTTTTTATTGTCTACTGACTTGTTAACTAATAGAGTATAATATCCAGAAGTGCAAGATGTGTTGATAAACTCCATCTCAACCTCCTGTTCCCAGGGGTGTTGCTTCTGGTCACTCTTCAACTTTTAGCATCCCCTCTCTTTCAAAATATGAGAGAAAATGTCTCCAGCTGGCCAAGTTGATGAGATGAACTGTTTTCAAAGGAGTTGGCTGTATCAATAACTATGAAAACGGTGAAGAAATCACACAAACATGAAAATTTTTCTCAATTGCATGGGTCAGAGAGGACTCTGCAACCTCAAAGACCAGCCTCTCATGCCGGAAAGAGGGCAAGGG